TCTGCCAGGTGGCACTATTTCAACCGTCGCATGCATCCGCATTTGCCACTTGTTGCATGCAAAAATTAAGGATCTAAGTAAGAAGAAATTATTTTGTGAAGATGCTAAACTTAACTCTATGTCCGAATATCACGGTATCGAGCGTCGGTATCAGTACTAAGTGCCGAGCGGTATCGAACCTCGGTACAATAAAAAGGTGACACAGTATAATTTTATTAATCTCTGGACGTCATTCGGTGTCCAAGGTTAAATTAAGAAGAGACACACCCTAAATTTTTATTTTTTTCTTAGAAGAATAATTATTTTAACTATTTTTCTCACCTTCAATAATAATAGTTGTTCAAATTCTCAAAAAAAAAAAAAAAATATTTCATATTTTGTACACTCTAAAAAAAAAGCTAATCCTGCCCCAAGTTTGGAACATCTTTCTTACTTTTTTATTTTTTTTTTCAGATAGCAATTATTATTTTGTTTAACTACTATTTTATTTGCTATTAGCTCATTATTTTTAAAAAATCTCTATGTTAGGATACAAATATTTGCAATTGTAATTTAACTTTTATATAATAACTTCACAATTAACTTTATAAAATACTGCAATCATCACAAACAACCAATAAAATTAAAATAAATAATGATTTACTTAAGCGAAAATTAAAGATCAATAAATATATAAATAATAATAATAATAATGATAATAAATAATTTATGACCAAGGAAATAAAAAAATAATATTGTATTAAAAAATCATAAATATATAATGTATGGAGTGTATAATTTCCTTTTCTTTATGTATTGATCTCTTGAAAATCAATAGTTGTATTTGTGGCATTATTGAACACTTATTCCTTGAAATATAGCCAACGCACAAAATTATAAATTATATGTAAGGGCCAGCTTTAATGCGCATGTGAAACATGTGAGGAAATGTATGGATGTTTCTTTCATTATTGATTTGATATTAATTTTTTGTATGATAAATATTATTCTATTAGTTTCTTAAAATAATATTTCTTTTAATTAAGGAGTAAAAAATATAAAAGAGCATATCATAATAATTCCAAGGGATTTATTTTCAGCAAGGAATCAAACTTTTATTTTTAAGTGAATTCCCAGAAAATTTATAAACCTTGAAATTAATTTTATCCAATTAGTCTTGTTGCGGGTTAGAATATACGTGACGATAGAGTTATGAATTTTAGTCTTAGTGTTGTACGTGTATCCAATACATAGAATAAGAATAATGAAAACACTAGAAATTTTACGTGAAAATATTAGGAAAAGGAAAACCCACTAAGCCATGCCTAATTGAAATGATTCAACTAGTGTTTAATTAGACAACATGTGGCAGATTTACCTATGAAATTTAGAACAATCATATTACAATAATCAACCGTCGGGTTCAAATCCAGTTACAAGCGGAGATCAGAAATCCAACGACGTTTAGTGGCCAGGTAGAAATCCGTCTTTAATTGATGTTTTGGCGGGAGTCCAGTGTTAGTGGGGGGGTCGGGCAGAAGCCCTACGTGATCAATTGGCGATTGGGCAAAAGTCCGACGTCGGTCCGTTGCTGGGTGGAAGTCCGGCGATGATCGAGGAAGAGTGCTAGTCTGGTGGCAAGAGAGTTATCTTCCTTCTCTTTTTTGCTTGGGGTCTTCTCTAATGAGAAATTAGTAGTCTATTTAATATTTATTATATTATGAGAGTGACATAACCAGTAAATAAGAGGAAAATCAAAAGGTAAATTGAGAGTAATTGAATGGACGGCCGAGAGGTTGAATCCCATGATCATGGAATATTTATTGGATATTTGAATGTCCTAATGATATCAGAATTCGACGATCATGGGTTCGTTGGATTTGTCTCGTCTATCCGCTTGATTCGAATATAAGCATGTCACGTTTGAAAATTGTTTGATAATCCAAATTATGATTTGATCCTTCCAAACGTGCTTCAGGTCTTTGATTTGGAATCATTTGAGCTCAGATTGAGTTGAATTTGGTGACATTGGGTTTGTATTTTCAAGACGTTCAGTTCGACTGTAAGTTTGGTGAAATCAGAGTTCAGATGATCACCGATTTAATTTTTGAAAATTCCAACTTAATTTTCCCCCTAGATTCGTGCCCGATCAAGATAATTTTTTGATGATATATCAAGTTTTCTAAAATACTAATTAATTATATTTTTTAAGTATTATTTGTAATCTAAAATAACCAAATGAGCTTATCTTATATTATAAAAAGAAAGCAATTGCCTGCAACGTGGCTGCGACTAGACGTGTTGAAACTTAATGGCCAAACTATCAGCTCACCTAAGTTTCCTCGCATAGATGTCATCGTGTCGATGCTATCGAAGTTATAAAAGAGAAATCAAACTGTCATTGCAATTTTTGTGATTAGTGGATTAATCTATATTCACTAATCATTAGTTAAGAAAATAATTTGTTTTGTTGGTTCTTTTCTATTTTTAATTTTATATTGGAAATGGGGTGAAAGCGAGTTAATTATGATACTACTATCAATCCTACAGACAATAACTCCAAATTTAGTAAATTAATTTAAAGATAATAATACAACTCTTTCATTGTGATATTATTTGATATCGACAATCTTTAGTTCAAATATTAATTACTTCTTTTGACTAAATATTCCTAAAGCTTAGTGTTATTATAAATATTTAATTCATAATTATATTATATAGGTACCAATTTAATTTATAAAAATCTATAATTAAACACAACTCACTTTGGTATATGCAATTGTGTGTAGTGAGTTGCCTTAAATGACCTAAATGTCTAAAAAAAAACTAATAAAATATATAATTTAAATTATAATAATAATAATAAAGATTAAATTAACCGGGTAATTTAGTAATATCCTACCTCTTGATATTTTTCATGTCTTTAGCTTTGCGCACAAATTCTGATTTAAATTACAGGATCTAAGGAGCACAATCGTTATATCACGTACTATTAGACTTACATTTTTTTCGTTGTAATTTTTTATAATTCATGTTATAAGACTATTATATTTTTATTAGAAGAGTTGCCAAAACTGCTGTAAATTTAAGAAAAACATCTCTTACATTTATTTGAAAAAATATATATAAAACATGATTGCCTCAGCTGAGGAAAGGTCACGGTCATGACAAACAATCCGGGGCTATTGTCGCCGTCTGCATCATCTTCTATCAAATTATTCCATTTGGCAGATTCGATTGTTCATTCTCCTTGTTCGACGGTGCCCTCCGATAGTGTAGTAGGGCAAATGGACGGTTCATGATAAGGGACAAGTCACGTCTATTATTGAGCTGTGGCCCGCTGAAACCCTAGTCCCACGTAAAAAGCCATTTCATGTTTTTTTTTCTCCTCATTATTTAGTTGAAAAAAAAATAATTTTAATTTTTTTATAAAGATTTAATAAAATGTCAACACCGCCTGATCTTTTCCTTCGCGGCCCTTCCTCGGTAATATCACTCTATTTTAATATTTAAATAAATTATAATATTTGATAAATTTACGTGAAGATGCCAAATATATTATGTTGGATCGCAAATTCAAATTGTTTAGGCCGTTTTTGATCGAAGACCTTGAAAATCGGCTATTTACTATTTGCGGCGTGGCGGTCCTTGTATCCAATTGTTGTACCGCTTCCACGTCACCAAAAATGCGCCGAAGTGTAGCGGTTTACGGTTTTTTCTTATGTTACCCTTAATTAGCCGTTTATATGAACCGATTTCAACCGCCTAATCCTATTTACAATTATGTTTTTTAAATCAAAAAAAGAATAAGATAAGCGAGATTGTAGTATTTTTTTTTTCGAAGAAAAATAAAAATATAGTTTTTTCATCAAAATTATTGTAATTTCACCTGTAATATTTTTAAAATTTTAATACGTAATTAGCCTAATAAAAAATCCAAAGAAATGATTAAATAATTATTGAAAGGGGCAACATTTATTTACAAATTTTGTAGGCTATAATGGATTAACTAGAGTTTTCATTTAAAAATTATAAATTGTTCTATTGTAATTTAGCATTATAAAATAATAATTATTTCTAAATAAGCAAAAATAATGGCAATTAAATATTTTATTTTAAGCAAATATCATTAATATTTTTGGATAATTAACATTAGTTTTGCCTGGTATAGAAAATAAGACAATTTATTAAGAAATTTTAATTTTAGTAAATCGTTATCTTACATTAACAAATTTGAACATTTATTTCGCTATTTAATTCTCTTTAGGAAATTATTATTCAGTAAGTATTTTAACTAACTAAATATTTTACTAGTTCCCTTTATAATTATTGTTACTTAAAAAAATTAATTATTTAAATGGTCATTGTGAAGATACTTTTGATTAAAATGTCTAAAATATTAAGTTAGTACTTTGTGGAACATATGTTTGTTATATTTTATTTTCATTATTAAATATTTTCTATATTTATTGTTCAGTACCACAGAATACAAAATATTATTTCAAATTAAAAAAAAATAAAGTAATGGCAAAATAAAAATAAAAACAAAAATTCACAAGCATTCTTATTTAGATTCTTTAACACATCCCTTTCTTAATACTAGAAAAGAATATATTAATCAAACGTTGAAAAATATTTGTATGCATAATTTTATTTTAAGATTCAAACATAAAATTAAATTTTTTAAAAAAGTACTGTTTACATATTATAATAAATATAAAGGAAAATTTTTACTTCATAAACTGAGAGACTGAGATTAATTTTGGAATAATTAATTGAAAAAATCAATACGCTCATCATGCGGTTTGTATAGAAATTTGACAAGTGATAATTAAGGTGGTCAGCGCTGAAATTTAAGCCAATGCGGCCCGCTCGCATAGAAGTACACACTTTTCTTCCTCTCCCTCCTTCCTTACCACGCACGCCATCGAACAGACACGTGTTACGCGGCTCATTTGGAACAGTCACCCCATGTTCCCGACTCCCTCCTATTTATATACCTAATCCGCCACCTCTTCCTCTTTAAAATTGCTTGCTTGATGACTCCTACCTTTCCTCTTCAATACGAAATGAAAACCAGACCTCGACCCTCCAATCTCTCCCGCTTCTTCCGCTGTCGTCCGACGACCGACGACGACGACGACGACGAATTGCCGCCCCTGACAACCTCCAGCACCGCTGGCTCCGACAACTCTCCGTACACCATGTCCCCGTACAACCCCTCCGCCGCCTCTTCCCCCTTCGTAAGATCCCCCTGGATCCACTCCACCGCCGCCGTCGCTCCCTTCCCGCAGGACCCCAACACCGCCCTCCTCGGCTCCCTCATCCGCCAGGAGGGACACGTGTACTCCCTCGCCGTCTCCGGCGACCTCCTCTTCACCGGCTCCGACAGCAAGAACATCCGCGTTTGGAAAAACTTCAGCGAATTAGGCGGCTTCAAGTCCTGCAGCGGCCTCGTCAAATCCATCGTTTTATTCAAGGATAAAGTCTTCACCGGCCATCAAGACGGCAAGATCCGCGTTTGGAAACTAGATTCGAAATCCGACGGCTATAAACGCGTCGGCACGCTCCCACGGTTTCAAGACTTTCTGAAAAGCTCCATCAGACCGTCCAATTACATAGAGGTCCGGCGTCACCGGAACGCGGTTTGGCTACGGCACTTCGACGCAGTGTCCTGCCTCGCGCTGAACGCGGAGCAGGGGTTGCTGTACTCGGGTTCGTGGGACCGGACGATCAAGGTGTGGAGATTATCGGACTTCAAGTGCCTCGCGTCGGTGAACGCGCATGATGACGCCGTGAACGCGGTGGCGACGGCGTTTGGGAATATGGTGATGAGCGGATCGGCTGATGGGACGGTGAAGCTTTGGGAGAGGGAGGAGAGGACGGGGAAACACGTGGCGGTTAGAACGCTGTTGAGAAGGGACAGCGCGGTGACGTCGATCGCGGTGGCGGAGAAGGACGGTGTGGTGTACTGCGGGTCATCTGATGGGTGGGTGAGATTTTGGGTGGGGGGAAGGAGGTTCGAGAAGGGCGGGGGGCTGAGGTGGCACAGTATGGCTGTGTTGTGCTTGGCGACGGCCGGGAGGATGGTGGTGAGCGGGTCGGCGGATAGGACGGTGCGCGTGTGGAGGAGGGAGGGGTTGGGCGCGCAGCACGTGCGAGTGGCGGCCTTGGCGGGTCACACGGGACCGGTTAAATGTTTGGCGGTGCAGGAGGACGTAGAGGGCGGAGGGGAGGTGGGAGGAAGATGGTTGGTGTATAGTGGGAGTTTAGATGGGTCGGTTAGGGTGTGGCGGGGGGGGAATCGGCCGGCGCAGCCGGCGGTTGGTCGGAATTGGGTATGAGCTGGTGTTTGACGATGCGGTCAAATGTAAATATTGAGAAAAATACGAATTACTGGATTGTATAGTAGAGTGACGAGGCCTCAATTACTATTATTTGTAAAAGGAAGATAATTTAAAAAAAAAAATTATAGTATTGACTATTGAGCGTGTTTCGATACATTGTAAGAAAGATTGAAGAAAATTTTGTTTTAAGAGAAAGAAATTATGTGGATCTGACTTGCTGGTTTGGTTTGATTGGTTGGATGGTGGCTAATGAGCTTTGGTAAAATGTGAATTTTTTTATTCAATATATTTCTTATTTTGAAGCTGTTGAATGTATTTTTTAATATTTTTAATAGTAATAATCATATTATCTAGATATATAATCTTCATATTTAGTTATTAACATGCAAAATAAAGAGTAAAAATAAATTTTTTTTATCATATTTATTTATTAAAAGAAAGAAAGAAAGTAATCATTATCAGTTGTGAAAATTTATGTATTATCACTATTGTTTGAATATGGAAGAATTAAATTTCTATCAGTATTATCGACGAAAAAAAAAATATTTTTTTCATTTAAAAGTAATTATTTTCAACTTCATCAAATATAGATTAACAAAGAGGATTTCAATACCTCTCTCTCTCTCTCTCTTCAAATACAACGAAGGAAGCTCTAAGAACTTTAATCAATCAAAGATCTATTCATTATATTATTTAAAAGATAATTTCTAAGCATTCAATCAAGAAGCTATTCACAATATTGTTTTAAAGCTAATTTTTATGAGAGTCTAGGGACCCAGCACGAAAGTATAGAATTAAAAAAATTCTTGAATCCTCAAAGTGACTGACCCCACCTTATTCAATATATATTTCTTCAATTTGTTTGGGGGCTCAAATAAATATATGTGACTCGAACTCATAACACATAAACCCACAATAATTATATATCTTCCTTCTTTGTATCATAAATTATATATTATTCATTAAGAAATATTGGACTCATGGCATTACTTCATATTAGTCATCAAAATTACACAGGTTTTATAAACATAAACCTAATACACTCGTGTACATCATATATATATACCCATAAATAATCGTGCATTTGTTTATTAGAAATATTGAAAGATATTCAAGGAGGGTAGCTATATATGGAGACCATCAATCTTGGGCCCACCTATTCAAATTAACCAAATATACTTCAGTGTGACCATGAATAATTTTGAGGGAGTTCATCGATAGCCAAAGAATTTACAATGGGAGATAATCATAAATAGTCGGGTTGTTTCAACTAGCTAGTATTTGAGGGATGATAAAGCCAAATATAAAAAAAATGATAATATGTGTAAAAAAAATGGAATGAGGCAAAATTGATAGAATAACTTGCTAGAATTTAAAAAAAAAAAAATTCATAGTACCTTCTATACAAACTTAATTTTCCAAATTATCACCACAAATCAAAATTTAAATATATACATAAATAATTTGACACGGATAATTAAAATATATAAATATTGAATTTTTAACACCAAATAATAACTATTAACCATTTAAAATATAGTAGGTCATCTTAAAGATAAAGTAACTATTACATTACTATTAAAAATAAACACATAAATTATTACCAATCTCAATCTTAATTACTCTTTCAAATTAATACTCATCTACTTATGTACCTTCATACACAATTTGTGGCACATTATATCCATTTCAGCTTGCAATGTACTCAAACAAACATTCAAATCCTGAGACAATGAGACTATTTGTGATCTCACCATATTCTCAATCATATTTCTTGCATAGATTGGGCAAAAGATATTGGACAAATGAACATCACAAGCAATGCTCTAAGAGCTTAAGCAATAAATCATTACCTTTGTCTTTCCTCATAAAGCCTTGTTGTAATAACCCCAAATTCTATTTCACTAATTTATAAAATATGTTTGTGGGAGTGCTACGAAGGCGGGATGAGTGATGCCCCAGCTTTGACCTCTCGGGTCTTTAGAAAAATAAATGAGTGCGGGCTTGTTACGATTCTGAGCACTGTAGCGTTGGGTCCGTAAGTTTATTTTTCTAATAAAATATCTAAAACCATGTACTTAAACACATCACCCCCATCCATTCCCTCCCTTATTCCTTTTGCTTGTCTGTGAGAGAATAAGAGAGAAGCGGGGATAAAGGAATGGAGAATGTCTATAAGTTTATTTCAATCCATTCATTTTAATGAAATTAAATAATGACAATTTTCACATTCAAATTATTTTTCGCTTCATTAAATATTATGAAACTATGACAATTACATTGGTAAGTTTTGGATAAGTGTGTCTTGTTTAGCATTTTTAAGCTATGAGGGCCCCTCAAATCGCTTTTGCTCTCCTACCCTACCATTAGTCGCTAAGGTGACATAAGAGGAGACTATCTAGCTCACTAAAATTTGGACAAATTCCACTCACATATGCATGGATTGCTCTCATTTGAATAAATAACACTCATTAGTAATAGGATAGTAAGATAGGTAAGATGGGCAGCATTATTTGGCTTTCTATAATAGCAATTGAAGCTGACTTTATACCCACCACATAGGCATTTGTCATCATTAATGTTTAGACAAAGATGATCACAATACAAATGCATTATATTCATATCTAGAGTACTGAAATAGAGTACTGAAAGTACTCTGTGTCTCGCTAATGAATTTTGTGATCATTTTATTATATAAATTGAGTTGGGCAGAAAAAAAAATATTTTTAATTATTAAAAATATTTATGATCATATAAATAATATATTGTATTTATAGCAAGAATCTATAATATTTATTATTAAAACTAATCTTCATCATTGAGGATGTTTTTTTATTTATTATAAATATTTTTGAATATTTTCTTCTAGGTGATTAAAATTTAAATTATTCTTGCTTGAAAATGTACATGTTAAAAATTTGACCAACATATATAAGTCATTAAAATAAAATAGAAATGTCGTTTATAAAATTAATATTTAAAAAATAACATCAAATCAAGTAGCTAATATTTGCTAATAACAATTATCAGCCTATAAACATATTTCAATTGCCGACATCACTAAGTATAACTTATGATATAGAAAAATATAAGCTTTTGGTAGTAGGATAGTTTCATATAACATGGATTAGATGGGCCTAAATGTCATTATATTACACCAATCTTAAAGCAAAATCAATGAATTTGGAATTTATCTCTATAAAAATATAATCAAAATATCTTGAGCTAATTCTTTTTCCCTAAAAAATCTATTTTTTAAATTCTTCCTTTACTAAAGAAAAAGTCATTTGTTAAATTTTGACATAATTATGAATGAGTTTAAATCAAGTAAATGTGATAAATGGCTATTAAAAAGTCGGAGAAGAATTTTATATTTAGCATATTTGATATAAATTATATTAGGATAAATTTAAGTAATATTAAATTTGCTTTCAGATTAGTGTACTATAGACTATTTGTATATATCACTAATTTTAAAGCAAAACCAATGATATCTAAATATTCCAATACAATTTGTATTACAATATTTTTTTTTCTTAAAAAATTGATTAATCAAAGATTTGTGTCATTAATTAATTTTGTTGATTATTAGACTAGATGACTATTCTCATAAATCGACAAGTAAGCATTGACTATGCTATTATTAAAAATCGGAAGTATTAGAGATTTAATTGTTAATTAAAGCATAATTTAATATTTAATGTTACTTGTTGTTTCAACATTTCCATTTGGCTCTATAGCACTACGCCATCTGGCTCAGGATGATTAAGCCTTAATTACGTAAATGACGTATGTTACGTAAATCAGTAAATAAGCGCCACTTATGAAGGGATTTGCTGGATAATTTAATATAAATTACTGCTATGTTTTCTCACCTTTAATTTTTATGGAAACAAATTTTAAGTGAAGAACTGAAGATATTTTGATTCAAAATTATTTAAAACTGTTATATTTACTTTAAAATTAGTGTAGATTATCATAAATTTTCAAATCTTGACGCAACAAATATGCATTAAGTAGTAGCATCTCACCAATATGATTTCTGTGATGTCAAGTAGTGATACTTAGGTTGAACATTAGCATTTCATCAATATTATTTTTTTCCGTGGTATGGATAAGAGATGAATATAATAGTGTCGTAAGAGAAAATTTGGAACTTATTGTCTATTTGGGATAACTTTCCATACTTTTCATATCATGACGCAACAAATATGCATTAAGTAGTAGCATCTCACCAATATGATTTCTATGATGTCAAGTAGTGATACATTAGTTGAACATTAGCATTTCATCATTTTTTTTTTGTGGTTTGGATAAGAGATGAAGATAATAGTGTCGTAAGAGAAAATTTGGAATTTATTGTCTGTTTGGGATAACTTTTTAGTTGTTTTGCTTGTCATATAATAATTATAATTTTGTTTGACTACTGCTTTTTTACTACTTTCTCTCTGCTTATAAATGCCACCTATCTCATATTGAGTTCAAAGCTTGCTACTCCGTGCGCCAGCCTATGCCACAACGTTAGTCCAAACGCGAGTGCGGGGAAGGTGCCAAGGCTGTTAGGGTCGAGCCGTGTGCGAGGAAGTAGCCAAGACGGGCAGGGCAGCACTACATCCAGTGCGGGAGTGCGGTCATGCGGGGTGACATCAACGGCAGCTCGCGTGATGCGACAGTGCAACCAATTGACGCGGGATCGAGACAGTGGCAAGTCGAAGCGACCGATTGACTTGAGACGCGACACGATTGACGTGAGACACGACTGCAACGAGACGCGACATCTGGGTCAATTCGAGTCGACCCACTGATTTTCGAGTCAACCTGAACCTGGCCCGTTTCACAAACAGGTTGACCCAATCCCATATTTTTTCGAGCGGGCCTGGGTCGGGTTTCGGGTTGTGCCAAAAATTGACATCCCTATATGATGTATGTGAATTTGCCTTAATTGGAACAAAAGAAAAATCAAGTTTTTTTATTTTATTTTATTTTATTTTGTGTAAAAAGCATTGAAAACTTCATGCAATTGTCAAACAAAATAATTCAGCGAGTTTTCACAAATCAATATTCGATTCCCGGTCGCTGATCACCTTATCATTTATTTACACTAGAGACATGCTGAAGGCCCGCTCAACA